CATAGCAAATCGAACATAGCAAATCGATTCATAGCAAATCAAACAGCAAATCGAACATAGGGCAAATCGAAAATAACAAATCAAAAACAGCAAATCGAACATAGCAAATCGATTTCACAAACCCGGTAGATGAAGGTACCTGTCGTCGTCGAGATGAAGGAGATGTCGTCGATGGGGGATGTCGTCGTCGATGGGGAAGAGAAGCGTGGCCGTCGCTGTCGACGGGGAGGAAGAACACAGGCAAGCATCGATTAGAAAAATCGAGTAGAAAACAGCAAAATCGATTAAAAATCGAGTAGAAAACAGTAAAATCGAACGATTGGTGCTATCGATCGATTACCTGAGGCGACGATGTGCAGATGGAGGCGACGATCGATGAAGATGGAGGCGACGATCGATGAAAATGGAGGCGACGATGTGAAGATGAAGGGGAACGACTCTGTCCAGGGGGGAAGACGATGTGAAGATGAAGGAGACGGTGGAACATGGAGGCGACGATGTAAAGATGGAGGCGACGATGTGAAGATGGAGGGTAGATAGGTCAAATTTTCCTTATTCTAGTTAGTTCCATGGGGGAAGGGAGGACAACCGTGTCCTACCCGTGTTCTACCTAGTTCTAGTTAGTCCCACATAAAATCACACCAAACATGGAACAAATGTGTTTTGTCCAGTTCTGTCCCATCCTGTTCTACCTACCAAACGCACCCTTAAAAAAATACCAAAATACCAACCAAATGAATTGTCATATAACTACTGTTTATATATAGAGATCTTATGTTGGTCTTCCTATGATCATTTTCGTTTATGCTACTTGACTAGTTGCTTAGACTAGACTTTTTATGTCATGTTACGCTTTGCAATTTTTCATGAACCATGGATAATTGAACCATGTTTGAGGCATGTTTAATTAATTTCTATAAGTACGAAAAAATTCGATGAACCTTTATAACCCCAGAGAGCGAGGGTTAGTTGGAAAGATTGCAATGTGGTAAAAAAATTTCTAGAGTCATGTTTGCGAGAGATATCTATAATGGGCGAGAGGGTGGTAGCCTTAAGGCAATTTCTTGGAGGAAAGTAGCTGAGACGTTAGAAAAGACACATAATTTTATTGTGGACCAAAGACAAATGAAAAATTGTTGAGCCTCTCTCTTAGTGATTTGATGATAATCCATTTTACCTTGTATGAAGTATTTATGTTTCTGTCTTTCAGTTTCAGCGATCATCACTGAGTCTGTTCAGTGATCGCTGA